TGGGCAGCCACGTATGTATTCCCCGAAGTGTGATATGCTGTTAAGTCGATTGTTTATCAGTAGACAAGTAACCTATGCAAAGAAAATAGGCCAGAATTTGAAATGTATATAGCATATTGCCAAGTTAAATTTTTTATTAAACAGCCTATCCCAAATTTTCATTAACGTAATCAGATAAACGTAATATTTCCATTCCTGGTTGTGTTGCAGTCACCCAACATCAATTAGGAGTTTTTCACGAAAGCTCCATTGACAGACAGGAAGATTGACAGGTCATAAGACAACGATGAAGAAACTTTCACCGTGATGTCTCCTACATTCAATCATTCTCCACTTAATGATATAAAAAATGAAGATCAAGCAAAAATCACAAGCAAATTTCTGAAGCCAATTTTATGGACTAATTGGTTATCTCCTGCTTTGGTCACAGAATGTAGCCCCCAGGTACGCAAATTAAAAAGCACGTTTGTGATTCCTTTGTTACTTCTCATTACGTATCAAACCGATTACTGTACTGATGTTGAGAAAGAATTGCTATTCATCATGCCTATAATTTTACAGCGCGTTACGCGGCATGAGTAACTGACGAGTATCAACATGTTATTAAGGTAAGCCTACACGTCCTCCCAACACACTCTACTGTCAAGGACGCCCTCAATAATGTTTTAGCCAGTAACCTAATCTTTTCACCTTATAGCAGGCCTTTATCAACTATAGCTAACTGCATTTTGGTTGTAAAAAAATTCCCTCTCAAGCAGGTCACTGAGGCCGTTTTACTTTAAAAATCCTCTAATAGTTCGAAATTTAATAGAATTCTGAAAGCAAACAACTCGGTGGGTAGTATTGAAGTGATATACCGGTATTTTTCTTTTAAATTGTAGGTGTAAAGACGCAGGTTGTGTAAGTAATAAACAATCTCTGACTTACGAACGCCAGTGTGCACTGTCACAAGGTAATGCTACAAAATCACGTTAAGATAAAACCCCGGATGCATCCCTCTGAAATACTGCATATGCTGTCGAGCCACCTGCTCTAACTCTTTTGTGTGTCCAGTGTAAGGAGGACTACCAGTAACAATTTATATAGGAATACTCAAATCAACACGCCTATGTTATAAGACTTACTGTTTGTATCAAATCTAAGAAGCAATATTACGGATGTACGACTACAAACTCATAAGTAAAGACTCCCTCTTCTACCCTGAGTCGTTCCCACATTTTGTACCCTTGCGGGATCTGCCCACCCCGGTTGTCATCGTGGACCACATTGGTTGAGTCGGTTGAGTCAGGAGAATGGCAAGGTCGTTGGACGGGACTGGCTCAGTGCACCACCTTATTTTTAATTTTTATAACTTAATCGACAACAAACCCTATATACCGCTCATTTTTGGAGGATATACCTTAAAAGATACCAGCTCTCCTCAGCCTCAACACAATATAATCAAAAGAAATGCAGACGTGTTTAATAAAGAAAAGCAGCAAATTTCGGATGCTAACCTTACCCAACAATGGGTTTCCTGATAAATTTAGGTCTTTCTTTTGTCTTCGTTAAATAAAAGGACCTAGGACAGGATTCATTGCCCAATACCTGTAACCAATTAAGGAATGTATTTTAAGTATTTTCGCTATACAGTATACATTAGTATACTTAATTTTTTCATACCTCCCTTAACGGTAACGTAACCCAGGCGAGTTAGTTAATAACACTTAACCCCCTAGTCCTTATATTACTCAAAATTTGACACTAACTGACGCATATAAGCGACTCGGGCACTAGTTTATTTATTCGATATATTAAATGTATAAAATATCCACAAATTATTGGTGCTCGGTAACCTAGGGAGGTGAAGGAATGCCGAGGTAGGCTTACGACGCTCCTCCCTCGTGGTGCTCCGCCTGCCTGCTGGGTGGGTGGAGGGGAGCTGGAGATCAAAGGGGGGGGGGTCACCGCGCTGCTACTAGGTGAACCGTGAAGCCTCTAGCTGCAATATTCATCAGCTTCAAGTCGTTCCAAATTATTTACTAGTGGAAATTACTGATCTCATACGTAGTTCTACCAATCCATAACTCTTTATTTAACTGTACCTGTACCTATAGTCAGCCAGTTTTACAGAATATGCAGGTGGTACGTATTCTTAGGACACCGCATGTACTGCAGCAATAGGGATGGGTTCTCGGGTCAGCAGGATCCTGTTACATACGAATAAATACATGACAGGCCAAAACAAATTCAAATTTAATTTCTTAAAACTTATAAGACCATCAACATTGGTCACATATCGAGTAAATATTTCGTAAAGTTAAAATTATGCTGCACACTCATTAGCATACAATGATACATATATATACCACAATAATTACTTTGGTAGAATTAATATTTTCTATTCGTTACTTTGACTTTACGGACTTAAGTAGCAAGCAGGTCGTGACACTTCGGTACCTTCGGAGGACTGACAAGACCATCACTGTAGCTACGTCTGATTTCAACAGGAACGAACCATAGAGCCATTACATATGTGTTCAGCAATATTTAGCGATTCCTTCCTATTTTGTGGGGAGTAAAGGTGTAGATAACGGCTACCACCAGAAAGTTGATTTTTCTACACTAATATAGTAAACCCAAAATGGAAACGACAATGCATAGAATCTGACCTAACATACTCATAGGTTGGTACGTTAGGTCAGGTTCTATTAAGTTCTATGCATTTTCGTGTTAATTTGAGTTAAACAACTTTCCTTAATATTGAGGTTGATATACAACAGCAATGGCGAGGAGGAATACGTGGAAGCGTTCACCATCATTTATGGGAAACGTCTCTTGAAGAGGGATTCAGCAAGGTAAACAACAAAAATGGCACCGGGAGGAAAGTTGGGAAGCGGGATAGAGTAAATAAAAAATTAAAATAAAATACTTAAAATTATAATAGAAAGTTGTCGTTTCCTTTAATATACTTAAAGTCATCAAAACAATAAGTACAGGAAAAGTAAAGCAAATTAACAAACAACTTCTGGTGGCAGCCGTTATCTACACCTTTACCAAAATGCGTAGTGAAACATGACAAGTGGGGGATGTCTTAACCATAATCATTGCAAAGTGGGGGGTGTCTTAACCATAATCATTGCAAAGAACAAATAAAGCACGTTAAAATCCTTAACTAAAATATGGGAAAGTTGTTCTCTCCCAAGAAGCGGCAGATATGACCCCAAAGTATATTATGCAGACGTGAAATTAATATCTAATTTGTCATATGCAAAGGTTCCTCTCACGATCGGTGATTTAGGTTAGGCCTAACTGGAATTGACCTTGACGGGTGGAAGTCACGTATGGGAATACGATGAATCTGGGATAGTCTTTTAATACATTCCTCAGCACGTGAGATATATATATATATATATATATATATATATATATATATATATATATATATATATATATATATATATATAACCACGCCCTAATCCATTTAAGGATGTTACCTTTGATGCCAGGAGCTTCTACCTTTCTAATTAGTCTTTCGTGGGGGACTCTGTCGAAGGCTTTGCTAAAGTCGAGATATACCACATCATAATTGTGCCCCTCGTCCACCGATTCGAAAACTGATGAAAAGAATGTTAATAGATTAGTTAGACAAGAACGTCCGCTTGTGAAGCCATGCTGGGAATCATTGATCAATCGGTGCTTCTCCAGGTGATTTCGAATAGTTTGAAATGATTGCTTCCAGTAATTTGCCTACTATTGATGTTAGGCTGATTGGGCGGTAGTTAGAGGATAGTGATCTATCCCCTTTCTTGAAAATCGGTATTACATTCGCTATCCTCCAGGATTCTGGTACTTCACCTGTTTTTAAGGACATGTTAAACAACTTTGCTAAGGGCATACTAAGCTCTTCCTTACATTCCTTTAATACTCTGGCAAATATCTCCTCGGGACCAGGTGACTTATTAGGATTTAGTTTGTCTATTTGCTTACTAACATCGTTACTAGTCACTACTATCTCGCTTAATTTGTTTTCTTCACTATCTCTGAATAGAGTCGGTGCCTCGGGTATCATGTTTAAATTTTCGGTGATGAAAACTGTTGAAAAATATTTATTCGAATTATTGCTCATTTCTCTGTCGTTATCAGTGAGCTCGCCGGCGTCGGACCGTATTGGTCCAATCTTTTCTGTGTTTTAGTTTGATACATTTGGCAGAATCCTTTGGGGTTTGTCTTCGCCTCCCTTGCTATCCTTACCTCATTATTCCTCTTTGCTTTCCTTATCTCGGTTTTAACCCTATTCGCCAATACCCTATAATAGTCCCGGAGGTGAATTTCGCCACGATTTATCCTTCTACCTATAGCCTTCCTTTGGCCGATGATGTTCTTTAAATAATTATTTATCCATTTAGGGTCATTGTTGTCTGATATATATATATATATATAAACTACCAGATCAGAAATATCTAGTCGATATATATATATATATATATATATATATATATATATATATATATATATATATCACGTGCTGAGGAATGTATTAAAAGACTATCCCAGATATATATATATATATATATATATATATATATATATATATATATATATATATATATTATATATATCCTAAAAACTACCAGATCAGAAATATCTAGTCAATAGAGGTACTACCCAGCACAAGACAACCCTGAAGCTGAATGATGGTTAATAGTTTAGTAAATCCTGCTGTTGACATGTTGATGCAGTCAGTCAATGATGCAGGCTGCCATCTAGCAGCCGGGGAGGAAACTTCTCTTGTTTACATTCTGCTGAACGTGTCATTTTGACATTTCACAACCTACGACGAGTATACACCCCTATGGGTGTCTTACTGAGTAATAGGATGCGAGCTTACATCCTTGTAGACTAACTGCCCTGGACAAGAAATTGTGGGCACCGAGTTGCCGGGCACTAGACAGGCGAGCGTGAACCCATGGCTCCCGAACACTTGACTCATAAAGAAAAGTTACAAACTTTATACTTACGTAAATGAGACCGGAATAGTATCGCTCCTTGAGGTTGTGTAGGACTGAAGCTTCGTTAAGGCAGGTGAGCTCGGCCATATCTTCCACTTTGTTGAATTTTGGAGGGTTCATCTTCTGGATGTCATCTTTGGCCACACGGACACGCTTGCCCGTGTCGGCGATCTCCACCTCGACTTCATCTCCAACTTCTCCCTTAATACCGGCTGCCACGAAGCCATGGTCTCCATGGGGGATCCACACCAGCCTCTTTTGTGTCCACTCGGCCTGGGAAGCAGGATCCTCAAACGTATCCCGCGACACCACCAAGTACTTCAGTTCAGGATCGTTCACGTCAATGTCCGCCATCTTGCCTCAGCGTCGTGGGGCGGGTAAAATGTGAATAAACGTTAGAAAGTGAGAAACTACACGCTTAAAATGGATCTTGTCACACTGCACCTATTGTGTATCACACTAAGATTACTGCTACGATCATCAACGCATACAATCCATAGCAACTTTGTAAGAAATGGGCGGGCTGCGAGTAAAGGAGACGCACAGGTCTACACCCGCCTGTGTTTGCCAGCAGACTGCACTGGTGAGCTGCGCGGGATTTGTCGCTGGCTCGTTTCCCGACCCTACTACCCTCTCAGTTACCGGCGTATAATATTCGCAATGTAATATCTCACTAAATCAAATAAAAAAATCTTCCCTTCTACTATACTATATTATAATAAATTTATTTAAAATAAATTTTACCAATATTCTTCTAATAAATGAGTCAGCGCGAAAATAAATATCCTTTAAAATTTAGCTTTGCTTTCACCGACACGTGGGGAAATACCTTTTGTCGACTACAGATTGAGAGACCATACCCAGGTACGGTTGTTCATAATTATTGTTTTTTTCTTATATATCTCATATATCAATGAAAAATGAATTCTGATTTAACGTTAAATGGTGCTAATTTGAGTTCTTAAAAGTACTTTGCTTAAGATTATCGACAAAAAACATTTGTTTATTGTACAAAAAACATGAAGGAGTTACAGAAGCTGCTCCTCTCAAAATTGGTGTCAAGCACGAACAGTATACCCCGGGATATACCGTCAACTCTTATGTACTTACATTATATAGAATACAGTGCTAGATTTACGATGTTTCTGTTATTGTGTTTGAACTTTACCCGTCATTTAGATTTAATTACGATATGGAATTTCAACTGGAGCTGAACAAAACTCGAGTTCAGGTTTTGAAATGTGTTTTAAGTGTTGTTAATGGTGTTGTTTAAGAACTCAATATATAATTTTCATTGCACTGTGTATGTCCACTCTGCAGTGTAAACAAAAATTTAGGTGCATTTTTTCATGCTTTTATGAGTATGTCACTATTAGTGTAAGGAGACAGGTCGCGTGTGGGTATGTTTAAAAACAAGAATTTTATAATATAGCTCTATTATGTTTGTTTTATGTACACACTGCTAGGCAAATCAATTTTGATTCAAGTCCCATTGTAGGAAAATAAGCATGAGTTATATAATTTAATACATCCTTCGCCTGCTGGTTACCCTTATGTTTAAATTTTTCCAGACCAGCTGACGCCATTAAAGTAACCAATCACATTTTCTGGAAAAATAAATGTGACGTCATTACCGAGATTATTCATAAGCTGCCACACCCTTCTCGATATAGAGTTCTATCTCTAATTTTTTAAATGGTGTTAGAATAGTGTAAATACTAACCTTGCTACGTGCTTAAAGACCTTCTTTGTTGAAGTGCAGTAATACTATTACAATAACAACTCGATACACTTCACAGTCCACACGTCCAACTCACTCTGTCTAATTTCCTCAATGGTCAACCTGTGTGATCTACTTCCCCAGCGCATCTCCATTCATATCACGGCCCAGCTAACTTACACTAAATCACGTATATTTATTTCTCTTAGGTCTAGGGACGTGTCAACCTTAAAGACAACTTAGTTTAAAAATTTTCTTATCTGTGTACTTTCCTGGCCAGTAATCTTTCAGTGTTACGTGTGCTACTCCAATCAAGGCTATCACAGTGTTCGTATTAATTTTCTCATTTGTACAGAGATTTCTTTAACTTTTGTATAGCTTTTCTTGTTAGTGTGTATTTTGTAAATATTAATTTTAAGTATAGTTATTAGACAATTACCAGACCTATTTAACTACCCCTTATAAGTGATTTCTGAGCTTAGTGACATTATTACATTCCTTAATTATTTTCATTAATTTATTACCGTAAATTCTACCTCCCATGATAATCAACTATGCTTTTCTTATGATTAATCACGACTCGCTGTTATATCTCGGGAAAAGCGAACCATGAAGGTGTGGCTACCCGAGAGTAAGTCTTATAAAGTTAAGCCTTACACATACATAAATTACAAGTGCATAATCACAGAGTACGTGTACTTATACTGTACTGCAAACAGCCCTATAGTCACTTAATAATCCAGAAATTAGTCTTGAAATGTAATCCTGACTTTGACTTCCTTTAGGTAAAATGTACTTCGACGATACAATACCTGCCAATGCCGAATAGTAAAGTTTATAAACTGTTTAAAATAAAACAGTTAGTCAACCGATTTCAATGGAACTTTAATAGTGGATTGTTTACTGAGAAATGTTGAGGCTGTCAAGCATCCGAAAAAAAATCCATCTCTGGCCCTGTTCAGTAAGCCTAGTGTAGTGTCCACCTCCCGTCAGATGAAGGAATATATTTTTTTCCAAGTGCCGCCAAATGCAGCTTATGAACATTTGTTTACCATTAATTTGACATTTAGCAGTTAGTTTGGATATTTATAATGGAAAAAACAGTCCAGCTCCATTATTATGTGACCTGATTCAAGAAACGGGTCACAAAGGTCAATGTGAACAGCACTATTATGTGAAGCCTAGCAAGAAGTACGTACGTATACAGGCAAAACAAATTCTGAAGAAGTCCCACATTGACTCACTCTATGCCCTTACAATCGAGGCCTTTGATTAAGCGGTGACTTAGGTGTTAACTAACTTTGGTGACCATTACACAAGCCAAATAAATTCAAACCGTCGTTTATGACAATTATGGACATAAAGTGGACCAATATTTAGGTAAAAAAAAATCCTGATGAATTTCAACAGAACCGAGATATCCGTGTTTTATTAAAAATGTCTACGTAAATATACACACAAACAGACATACAAGTTGAGAAGAATGAAGAAAACGTGTGCGAGTGTACAGTATGTGAAAGCCAATATACGTGCATAGTTTTTTTTGTATATCTGTATTAGTATATATGTGAGTATGTACTGTATAATTTAGTATAAAATTTCCTTCGTATGAATCACGCGAAAGAGTTAAAATACATCAACAAAACTCATCGGTGCTCTAATTAAGGTTAAAGATAAGCAGGTGTGGGTACAGCAGAAATACGTCAGCAGCAGAACAGAGGGAGATAGAAAAAAAAGTCATAATTAAAACAGCAGCGATAGAGAAGGTACTGTTGGAGTGTGACGTAACCATGAGCGAAGAACACGGTGCCAAATGTTGCTTTATCACCAGATGTGTCGCTTTTTCAGCATATTCTCGCCTACCAGACATATTTATTTGGCGTCTTCATAATGCGAGCCTATTTCCTCTCCCGGACACAATATGAAGCTTCATCATAGGATTTATTTTCTTTTTGGAAGCTATTGCAACATTTTCCATCTGTTGCTCAACGGAACGGAACATTGGCTATAGCTAAACTGCCGGTCGTGAGATGTATTTGTACCTAGGTAATTTTGTGTAGAAAGTTCCCTCCCTCTCTCATTGTTCCTTGGAGTAATCATCAACGATGATCTTGACAGCCAGCGCTCACAGTATGGAGATATATGTGGATTTCCCTTTCCAAATACACGGCTGACTTGACCTTTTAGCTCGGCAGTTAACACGTTACACGGAGTCGGGTGAGGTATGACTTAATTATAGACAGCAGAACCCATAGGCACACACTCACACCATGGTCTCTCTCCCATGGGCCAGATTTGATGCATACTAGTAAATATGAGCGTTAGGTGTAGCAATGGAGTGTGGTAGTGTACCAGTGTTGAGTGTAGTAGCCCTGGAGTCAGGTAGTAGTCTACAAGTGTTGGGTGTAGCCCTGGAGTCAAGTGTTATGTGTAGCTCAGGAGTGTTGTAGTATTGACAAATGATGAGTGTAGCCTTCGAGTGTAACGTGCAGCTCTAGAGAAGGGTAGTATTCACTAACATGGGTGTAACTCCCTGATAGGTGGGAGTGTACGTCAGAAACAGGTGTTGGGGTGTAGTAACGCCCCACTCCTCCACCTATCCCCCAGCCCTGACAGCAGCCACGCCCCGACCTCCGAGGAGCAGGAGGGAGGGTGGGGGGAGGGACGACGCGAGGGGGCGTTTATCTTCTCAACACAATAACACCGACAAAATCCCCACCACGTAATTTCCCCCAGATTAAGTAAGTAACCAGACAATTTCCACTGAACAATATCCCAATACAAAATTAGAAAATGGGAACAAAACGAGTTAAAAGACACAAGGTCAAGTTTCTTTAAGACTGCATAGGTTAAATTAGGTTAGTTTATTCTAGGTTAATTTTGCAGTGTTAAAGATTAATTTGGGTTGCGTTGAATTAAGTGTGATTTAATCCGAATGCATTTAGTTGGAATAGATTAAATGACATAAATTAGATTTCATTGGTTTACGTTAGATTTTGTTTTGTTACACGAGACTCTTGTTAGGTTTGATAAGATTAGTTGAGAGTCAATCGTACACCCTCCAAACACCACCATCTCCTAACATGACGCAGTTATCATTACAATAATATTACAATAATATTATATTTATTATTATCATTATTAGTTATTATATTTATTATCATTATTATTGTTATTATATTTATTATCATTGTTATTGTTATTATGTTTATTATCATTATTATTGTTATTATATTTATTATCATTATTATTGTTATTATATTTATTATCATTATTATTGTTATTATATTTATTATCATTATTATTGTTATTATATTTATTATCATTATTATTGTTATTATGTTTATTATCATTATTATTGTTATTATATTTATTATCATTATTATTGTTATTATATTTATTATCATTATTATTATTATTATATTTTTTATCAATATTATTGTTATTATATTTATTATCATTATTATTGTTAATATATTTATTATCATTATTATTGTTATTATGTTTATTATCATTATTATTGTTATTATATTTATTATCATTATTATTGTTATTATGTTTATTATCATTATTATTGTTATTATATTTTTTATCAATATTATTGTTATTATATTTATTATCATTATTATCGTTGTTGTTGTTAGTAGTGATAATGGCAACAGTAGTCGAAGTATGTTTTTACTGTTAAACTAACCCAAAAAGCCTCGTTGTGTCAGTCAGAACATTCTCATAACATGAAAATATTCCCGTACTGTATATTTTTTCATTGTTTCTCTTTATTGATATAATGATTTCGGTCTTTACTGTAAAGCGCTGATTATAATGTGTTTTTTATAAATTCTTTAAAAA